AAAAATTTTTTTAAAAAATTTCCAATCTTTTCCGGGAATAAAAATTAGTGGTGCACTATTTTTTTATACTTCTGGGAGTAGAATAAAGTAGAAAAATCATGTTTAGTTAAAAGACGCAAAATTTGAATAGCAATAAATTAATTTTTTCAGAAATAAACTAGAAAATTTTTTTAAAAAATTTCCAATTTTTTCCTTGACTAAAAAAAAGTGGTTCACTAATTTTTCTTATACTTCTGGAAGTAGAATAAAGTAGAAAAATCATGTTTGGTTAGAAGACGCGAACTTTAAAAAGCAAAAAATCCATGTTTTTTGAAAAAAAGTGGAAAAATTTTTTCCTTGACTGAAAATAAGTGGTGAACTATTTTTTCTTAAACTTCTGGGAGTAAAATAAAGTAGTAGAAAAATCATGTTTGGTTAGAATACGCGAACTTTGAATAGCAAAAAATCAATTTTTTCAGAAAAAAACTAAAAAAAATTTTTTAAATAATTTCCAATTTTTTCCGGGACTAAAAATTAGTAGTGCACTATTTTTTCTTATACTTTTAGGAGTAAAAAAAAGTAGAAAAATCATGTTTGGTAAGAAGACGCGAACTTTGAATAGCAAAAAATCAATTTTTTTAGAAAAAACTAGAAAATTTTTTTAAAAAAAATTCTAACTTTTTCTACTTTATTCTACTCCCAAAAGTATAAGAAAAAATAGTGCACCACTTATTTTTAGTCAAGAAAAAAATTGGAAATTTTTTAAAAAAAATTTTCCACTTTTTTTCAGAAAAAACTGATTTTTTGCTATTCAAAGTTCGCATCTTCTAACCAAACATGATTTTTCAACTTTATTCTACTCCCAGAAGTATAAGAAAAAATAGTGCACCACTTATTTTTAGTCAAGGAAAATATAGGAAAATTTAAAAAAAAAATTTTCCATTTTTTTAAGGAAAAAATTGATTTCTTGCTATTCAATTTCGCCTCTTCTAACTAAACATGTTTTTTCTACTTGATTCTACTCCCAGAAGTATAAGAACAAATAGTGCACCACTTATTCACTTTTTCAAGGAAAAAATTGGAAATTTTTTTAAAACCACTTTTTTTCAGAAAAAATTTATTTTTTGCTATTCAAATTTCGCATCTTCTAACCAAACATCCTTTTCTACTTTATTCTACTCCCAGAAGTATAAGAACAAAATAATAGTGCACCACTAATTTTTAGTCAAGGAAAAAATTGGAAATTTTTTTAAAAAAATTTTCCACTTTTTTTCAGAAAGAACTGATTGTTTGCTATTCAAAGTTCGCGTCTTTTTACCAAACATGATTTTTTTACTTAATTCTACTCTCAGAAGTATAAGAACAAATAGTGCACCACTTGTTTTTAGTCAAGCAAAATATAGGAAAATTTTTTAAAAAATTTTTTCTATTTTTTTAAAGAAAAAATTGATTTTTTGCTATTTAATTTCGCCTCTTCTAACTAAACATGATTTTTAGGGTTCCGTACACCTACGGTGTAACGGCGGAACCCTATTGGTGAGACTCTGTTTTCCGTATCCAAATCGTGTCCCCCCCCTAGCGGCTAAACTATTTGACCTAAAGAGCTGAAATTTGGTCCAGATATGTATTTTCACTCGTAGATTACAGGAAAAATATAGCGAATGTGATTGGACGTGATGGTCATAGCGTTGTCAAGGAAATAAAAAGATTTTTGGCCAAAAATGCATAAAAAGTGACCATTCCCCCCCCTTAACTTCTAAACTATTCGACATGGAGAGCTGAAATTTTGCAGGCAGGTGTATTTTTACTCGAATATTACAGAAAAAATATAGAGAACTTGATATGTAATGATGGCCATAGCGTTGTCAAGGAAAAACTAAAAAATTTAAAAAAAAAAGTTTTTTTCTCTAACTTTTACATTATTTGACCTAATGAGCTGAAAATTGGTATCCTAGTGTATTATTACAGTCTGACGACAAAAAATTTATTTAAGAAACTTTTTTAAAAAAAATCAAAAAAAATTTTTTTTAAATTTTTTTTAGTTTAAACACGTGGCATTAAATATTTTAAGGAAGAGAGTGAAATTTTAAGAGAATAAATGAGAGATTGTTTTCTGACTTTAATTTCTTAACTAAAAAAAAAAAAAGTGGACAAGTGCGAGTTGTACTCGCACTGCAATGGCGGGTTCCGTACACAAATATTAAAACAATACTTGCAACATTTATAGGTAATTGATAGAATTAAAATAAACAATTAAAAAAATATATTAAAATCATTTGATAAAAAAAATAACTAAAAAACTTAAAGTATTGTATATCTAATATTGTAAACAATAATAAGCAGAGGAACAAAATTTTCAAATTTTATAGTTCCTCTGCTTATTATTGTTTACAATATTAGATATATGTACAATACTTTAATTTTTTTTAGTTATTTCTTCTTATCAAATCATTTTAATATATTTTTTTAATTGTTTATTATAATTCTATCAATTACCGATAAATGTTGCAAGTATTGTTTTAATATTTGTGTACGAAACCCGCCATTGCAGTGCGAGTACAACTCGCACTTGTCCAATTTTTTTCTACTTTATTCAACTCCCAGAAGTATAGTAAAATATAGTGCACCACTTATTTTTAATCAAGGAAAAAATTGAAAATTTTTTTAAAAGAATTTTCTAGTTTTTTTCAGAAAACATTTATTTTTTGCTATTCAAAGTTAGCGTCTTCTAACCAAACATGATTTTTCTACTTGATTCTACTCTCAGAAGTATAAGAACAAATAGTGCACCACTTATTTTTAGTCAAGGAAAAAATTGGAATTTTTTTAAAAAAATTTTTCCACTTTTTTCAGAAAAAATTGATTTTTTGCTATTCAAAGTTCGCCTCTTCTAACTAAACATAATTTTTCTATTTAAATCTACTTTTAAAAGTATAGGAAAAAATAGTTCACTACTTATTTTTAGTCAAGGAAAAAATTGGAAATTTTTTTAAAAAAATTTTCCAGTTTTTTTCAGAAAAAATTGATTTTTTGCTATTCAAAGTTTGCGCCTTATAACCAAACATGATTTTTCTACTTAATTCTACTCCGAGAGGTATAAGAACAAATAGTGCACCACTTATTCACTTTTTCAAAGAAAAAATTGGAAATTTTTTTCAGAAAAAATTGATTTTTTGCTATTCAAAGTTCGCATCTTCTAACCAAACTTGATTTTTCTACTTTATTCTACTTTCAGAAGTATAAGAAAAAATAATGCACCACTTATTTTTAGTCAAAGAAAAAATTGCAAATTTTTTAAAAAAATTTTTCTACTTTTTTCAGAAAACATTAATTTTTTGCTATTCAAATTTCGCGTCTTCTAACCAAATATGATTTTTCTCCTTAAATTTACTCCTAGAGGAATAGGAAAAAATAGTGCACCACTTATTTTTAATCAAGGAAAAAATTGGAAATTTTTTTAAAAAAATTTTCCAGTTTTTTTCAGAAAAATTTGATTTTTTCTATTCAAAGTTCGCCTCTTCTAACCAAACATGATTTTTCTCCTTAGATTTACTCCTAGAAGAATAGGAAAAAATAGTGCACCACTTATTTTTAGTCGAGGAAAAAATTGGAAATTTTTTAAAAAAATTTTTCCTGTTTTTTTCAGAAAAAATTGATTTTTTGCTATTCAAAGTTCGCGTCTTTTTACCAAACATAATATTTTTACTTGATTCTACTCTCAGAAGTATAAGAACAAATAGTTCACCACTTATTTTTAGTCAAGGAAAAAATTGGAATTTTTTTAAAAAAAATTTTCCACTTTTTTTAGAAAAAATTGATTTTTTGCTATTCAAAGTTCGCCTCTTCTAACTAAACATGATTTTTCTATTTAAATCTACTTCTAGAAGTATAGGAAAAAATAGTGCACTACTTATTTTTAGTCAAGGAAAAAATTGGAAATTTTTTTTAAAAAATTTTCCAGTTTTTTTCAGAAAAAATTGATTTTTTGCTATTCAAAGTTCGCGTCTTCTAACCAAACATGATTTTTCTACTTGATTCTACTCCCAGAAGTATAAGAACAAATAGTGCACCACTTATTCACTTTTTCAAGGAAAAAATTGGAAATTTTTTTAAAACCACTTTTTTTCAGAAAAAATTTATTTTTTGCTATTCAAATTTCGCATCTTCTAACCAAACATCCTTTTTCTACTTTATTCTACTCCCAGAAGTATAAGAACAAATAGTGCACCACTAATTTTTAGTCAAGGAAAAAATTGGAAATTTTTTTAAAAAAATTTTTCTACTTTTTTTCAAAAAACATGGATTTTTTGCTTTTTAAAATTCGCGTCTTCTGACTGAGAGGGCGAACCCTTAAAAATGGGTCGGCCACTACAGAAATCGAATCTTCTGTGTTTCGCTGGGCAGTGTCCCAGGTTACGGGGATTTAGAGGGATATCGAGAGAGACGGGATGGACAGAGGCTTAACTGCGGGTCCATTCCGAAGACTTCCTACTAGTGGAAGTCTGACCAAGAAGAAATTCTTCCATGGTTACGTTGGCTGTGCCATGGCGATTGATGCGCGAGTCTCTGCCACCCAATCCGTGATGAACTCGTGTCCATGGATGAATGATACTAGGGTTAACAAATCCGTCTGGTTCTTCCGTGTGGAGGGGGTTGGACGGGGGACGACCTTTGCTGGGCACAATTAACCGTAAACCGTTAAGGTCGGGAACGGTTGTGTTACAGAAAGGGCCCGTCTTCTGGACGACCCTTCCCTGGGGTGGGGCTCGAATGGAGGTATCTTGAACGAGACTCTGAGATACCAGGCGAACTTTCAGATGTAATTTAGCCTTTTCCTTAAATAGAGGCTCTTTAAGGATTGACCTTTCTTTCCTCTTTTCTCGTGGGACCATAATTGATACTACAGAAATTAATAAAAATAAAACCACACACGTGAGCGTCGAAGAGCCCTTTTTGGAGGATCACGATGCTGGCGATCAAGGTGTGGACGCGACAGAGGGGTCCGTGAGTCAGTCTTAAATATGGCTGCTTCCGGGATCCACTGTATGCAGATTAACTTGCATCATTGTAAAGGCGCTTCGGCGATTCTAGCCAGGAACTTTGCAAGGATGCAGGCAGCTATAGCCTTTGTTCAAGAACCTTGGGTTTACAAGGGTAAGATTAGAGGTCTAAGTGGCTGTGGGGTGCTAGTTAGTTCACCACAGGAACCAGTTCTAAGGGCTTGCCTGATCTATAAAGGTCTAGATGCTTTCCCTATATTGGAATTAACTACCAGGGACTTAGTTGTTGTTAAGGCTAAGTACCTAGGAAGGAACGGAAATAAAAGGGAGGTTGTAGTAGCTTTCGCATATTTTCCGGGATCGGGGGATGACTTCGCACCACCTACAGAGGCAGAAGACAGAGGCAGAAGACTTTTAGATTTTCTGATAGATACAGATTTAGATATTTTAAATCAGGGTAGTGAGCCGACTTTCGTTACTGTTAACAGAAAAGAGGTGTTGGATATTACGATCTGTTCCAAGTCTTTGTGTGATGGCGTTAGGGACTGGAGGGTGTCTGATGAAGATTCCCTCTCGGACCACAGGCTTATAACGTTTAGATTGGAATCGAAGGATCGGTAACAGGAGTGGGGACGTAATCCCAGGAGTACTGACTGGGCTTCATATATTGAAGACCTCAAGACCTCCATGGCATGCTTCCTCACTTCGTATGGAACGCGGGAGGAGTTGGAACTTGCAGCGGAATACCTGCGAGATTCTATTATCTGCTCCTTTGAAAGGAACTGTGTAGTTAAGAAAATAGGCTTAAATGAGGGTAGTAAGTGGTGGACCACCCGTTTGGAGAAACATAGAAAAACAGTAAGAAAGCTTTTTAATAAAGCCAAGAAACGTAGGCATCAGCGAGCATGGGATGAATATCATACCGCTCGCGATTTTTACAAGAAAGAAGTAGAGAGGACAAGGAGTGTCAGCTGGAGAAGTTTTTGCGAAGGAATCGAGAGGGTACCAGAAGCATCAAGACTTCATAAAGTACTAGCTCGAGACCCAATGGCAAAATTAACTACTATTAAGCTGCCTAATGGGCAGTATGCCCAGGATTAAAGGGAGTGTATAAAGCACCTAATAGAGGTAAACTTCCCGGACTTTAGAGAAGGTTCGGAGAACAGCCATGGCATAGGACCAGGTAGGAACCGAGGATATCGGGAACACTGGAAACTAGCAGCCATGATCGTAACTCCGGAAGGGATTGATTGGGCAATAAGCACTTTCAAACCATTTAAGGCTTCAGGGGGGGACGGTATATATCCGATTCTTTTGCAAAAGGGATTGGAGTGTATTAAGGTACCCCTGTGTAAAATTATGAGAGCGTGTATAGCTCTTGGTTACACACCGGAGTCTTGGAAAAAGACGAGGGTTGTGTTTATTCCGAAGGCCGGTCGGTCAGGGTATACTGCGGCGAAGGGTAGAAGGGCGATAGGGTCATCGTGGGGACTAAGGCCTAATATGGTCAACTGGCTCTATCAGATGATCTTAAAACCCAGGTTTCTTCACGCGGTGGTTGTTTGGTGGTCTAGGACTCAACTGATAACGGTTAAAAAGAAACTGGACCAACTGCAAGCAATGATTTTTAGGGGTATTACGGGAGCTATGAGAACCACGCCAACAGCTGCGTTGGGATTCATGCTAGCCGAAGTACCTCTGCATATTGCTGCGGTGAAAAAGGCGGCTATGAGCAGGTTAACCGCGCAGGGAAGGTGGAAGATTGGTGGTATACACACCAAGCTTCCACGCTCAATTCTATCAATACCAGAATTAAGTATGGTGCAAGATAGAATGATCAAGAGGGTGAAATTTAAACCCTGCTTTAAGATCATTACACCTTCCAGAATGGACTGGAAGAAAGGTTTTTCACTTGGGGACGAAGTCTGGTATACAGACGGCTCCAAGATGGACTGCGGTGCAGGCTTTGGAATCTATCGAAAAATTGGCTGCATTAACACTTTAACGCCCAGCGGTCTCGATCGAAACCACTTTTGATTTCTAAAATCTATAACTTTGACAAAACTTAAGATATTTTTGTTTTCTAAACGCTCACGACCTACAAATTTATAAACCTTTATGAAAAAAATTTACATTCTAAAAAATAATTAACAATTTTATAATGACAACAATAATAAAAAAAATTAAAGAAAGTGAATTTATCATTCGGCAGTTAAATATTAAGAAGAAAGAAACTATTAATAATCCGAATCTTACTAAATAAATTAAATATCTTAAATAAATCTCTATAAGCTTTTAGATTTCATATGTATCGACAGCACAGCTGCCCGAATACAGAAACCTGCTTAATCTGAAAAATATTTTCGAAATTAAATAATAATTTCAAAATTATCAAAGAATCCAGAAAAAAACGGTAGCATGGTGGGATACGAGCCCACGACCTTTCTATTGCCGGTAGACTGCTCTGACCACTGAGCTACATGCACCCCGAGATTCTCCGAATTCTTTGACATATACTATCCCTTCCTACGTTATTTTAATGATAACGTAGGAAGTTTCTTAAAGATGGTAAGCCTAGTATTTCAATTCATTCATTCATTCTGGATTCTTTGATAATTTTGAAATTATTATTTAATTTCGAAAATATTTTTCAGATTAAGCAGGTTTCTGTATTCGGGCAGCTGTGCTGTCGATACATATGAAATCTAAGAGCTTATAGAGATTTATTTAAGATATTTAATTTATTTAGTAAAAATTTGATTCGGATTATTGATAGTTTCTTTCTTCTTAATAAAAAAAATTGTTGCAAAATTTGCAACAAAATTACAAATTCGAAAATAAAAGGAAACAAAGCTACTGAAAATTGTTACTCGGGGGTTTTCGGGGTCGCTGATTGCGAATTTGATATCAGATTTTAAAAATTCTAAATGGCGTATCCAATATGGCGGACATCTTTTATAAAAATTGATTCAATTTGCCTGAAAATTGTTACTCGGGAGTTTTCGGGGTCGCTGATTACGATTTTGACTTTAATTTTTTAAAATGTAAAATAGCGGTTTCAATTTAGTGTATAAAATGTCCAAATAAAAACGAGATCAGAATAAAATGTTCGTCTACCTTCGTGACAATGTGAAAAACAATTGCCTAACGCAAAACCGGCATCATAATGATTAATGAAATATTCATTTCTATATTCGTAATAATCAGAAAAACAAATGCCTAACGCAAAGACGAAATCAATCTAAAATGCTTGACTATATTTGTAAAAATCGGAAAACAAAAGCCTAACATGAGAACGCGATCCGAATAAAACATGAATCTACATTTGTGACAATGCGATTAACAAATGCCTAATGAGAAAACGATGTCAAAATTAAATGTTCGTTTACATTCGTGACTATAGAAAAACAATTGCCTAACATAGACTCTAACATTGGATTAGTAAACAGCGGCCCTGAAAACCCCCTACTAACAATTTTTAGGCAAATTGAATCAATTATTAGAAAAGATGTCCGCCATATTGGATCCGCCATTTTAAATTTTTAAAATCTGACATCTCATTCGTAATCAAAGACTCCGAAAATCCCCGAGCAACAATTTTCAGGCAAATTGAATTAATTTTTAGAAAAGATGGCCGCCATATTGGATCCGCCATTCTGTATTTTTAAAATATGACCTCAAATTCGTATTCAGCGACCCCGAAAACCTTTATATACGAGCAATGACGTGAATTACATTGCTATAAAAAAGTCGGGCGTTAAAGGGTTAAAGTGGCTGAGTCACTAGGACAATATGCCACGGTCTGTCAGACAGAGGTCTGTGTGATTTTAACTTGCGCCCAAATATCCATTCGAAATGGAACAAAGGTCAAGAGGATTAGTATTTGTGTGGATAGTCAGGCGGCCTTGGGGGCTCTGAAAAATCCCACAATAGAATCAAAACTCGTCTGGGAATGCCGCAGCGTACGAGATGAGTTGGGTTCAGCAAATAAACTTTCATTGATTTGGGTACCGGGTCACTCGGGAATCAAGGGTAATGAAAGAGTAGACGTCTTGGCGAAACTCGGTTCCGAGACGGAATTTATAGGTCCTGAACCATCAGTGGCAATAATGCCGTGCTTGGTTAAGGGAGCCATAGAAAGATGGGGTCAAAAGGAACATGAGAAGTATTGGGCGAACGTTAGGGTGGGAAGGCAAGCGAAAACTCTGTTGGGGCTAGCACTCAACAAGGAAGAGCGAGCGATCTCCTAAAACTCGATAAGATCAGAGTTAGAACCGTAGTTTGTCTACTTACGGGTCATGGACTATTGAATTACCATCAGCATAAAATAGGCAGACAAGTTTCACCTATGTGCAGACTGTGTGGGGAGAGTAACAAAACTTCGACTCACATATTATCTGAATGCCCAGTGCTAGCTAGGATCAGGCTGTCTAGTTGGGGTCAAGCAATTATTGACCCTAAACAGGTGAGCAACCTATCAATAGAAGAGATACTGGACATCTGGAGAAGAACAGGACTCTAAGGGGTTGCTATAAACGAGCGAGCTGGAGTCTGGTACAATGGGTTTTATAACCTAGGTGCTTACTTTCCCCTCTTGAGGAAAATCCAGCTCGATCTCGGTTGTTAGATTAGATTCAGAAAAAATTGTTTTTTTGCTATTCAAAGTTCGCGTCTTCTAACCAAACATGATTTTTAGGGTTCCGTACACCATAGGTGTACTGACGGAACCCTTATGAAATCACTCGTGTGTCCGTCCCAGCTACGCAAAATGGGCTGTCCCCCCCCCTTAACTTTTACAAATCTCAACCTAGTGAGCTGAAATTCGGTAGGGATCTTCAGTTTTAAATGCAGATTACAGGAAAAATATAGCGAACCCAATTGGCGGACATATTTGCGAACTAGGAGGGAAAGAAATTGAATTTTTCAGAAAAAATTACAAAAAATGACCCTGTCCCCCCCCTTTAACTTTTACAAATCTCAACCTGGTGAGCTGAAATTCGGTAAGGATCATCAGTTTTAAGTGCAGATTACAGGAAAAATATAGCGAACCTGATTGGTGGAGATATTTGCGAACTAGGAGGAAAAGAAATTCAATTTTATCGAAAAAATTGCAAAAAATGACCCTGTCCCCCCCCCTTAACTTCTACAAATCTCAACATTATGAGCTAAAATTCAGTAGGGATATTAAGTTTCAAGTGTAGATTACAGGAAAAATATAGCGAACCTGATTGGTGGAGATATTTGGGAACTAGAAGGAAAAGAAATTGAATTTTTTCGAAAAAATTGCAAAAAATGACCCTGTCCCCCCCCCTTAACTTTTACAAATCTCAACCTAGTGAGCTGAAATTCGGTAGGGATATTAAGTTTCAAGTGTAGATTACAGGAAAAATATAGCGAACCTGATTGGTGGAGATATTTGGGAACTAGAAGGGAAAGAAATTGAATTTTTTCGAAAAAATTGCAAAAAATGACCCTGTCCCCCCCCTTAACTTCTACAAATCTCAACATTATGAGCTAAAATTCAGTAGGGATATTAAGTTTCAAGTGTAGATTACAGGAAAAATATAGCGAACCTGATTGGTGGAGATATTTGGGAACTAGAAGGGAAAGAAATTGAATTT